TTTTTTTAATCATTTAAGCTCTACCGGTTAATTCACAAAATTGCAAATTCTCCGACCGAACGCACTGTTCATCACATAGTCATGATTACAGTCAAAATACTCGAAATCACTCACTGAATCTAATTATGGCATTTAAATCCTTAAATTAAATATCTAATTAAAATTTACCATTTAGGGTCATTATATAAAAAGTATTAATTTTTTTAAGTATTATTATCTTATTTAAGATTTTTTTTAATAATGTGATAACTAGGTTTATTTTTTGTAAGATAATTAGGTTTTCTTGCATTCTTTAAATGTGAAAATAATGATCTTTTGGATATCAAATTAGCCTTTGTCATTTGTCATATATGAAGTATTTTCTATAAATTTTAAATCCAAGCATCTAAAATAAAGCTCACCAGAAAAAAATTAATTTATTAATTGAGCCACGTCTTGTAATTAAAAAATTTATTTTAAATTGAGTAATTAAAGTTTTTTTTTTCCAGGATATCCTTATCTATTTTAATAGGGGGAAAAAATATTTAATGTTTACTTTAGATAACTTTATCTAATGTTTAGCAAAACGACATCGTTTTGGATTGAAAAATTAAAAAATTTAAATAATAAATACTATTGTAATTTGAAATAAATTTAAATTACAAACACATCGATTTTTGCCCCAAAACCATGTCATTTTGATGAACATTAAACAATGTTATCTAGAGTAACTTTAGGAAAAACGAACCTTTTAACGAGAATAAAAAAAAATTGACGTAAAACTTGAAAGTTTTTTACGATTCCTATCCATTTTTTCCCAAGTTTCTTTATTACTAAATTTACTATAATCATTTGTACGAAAAATTAAATCATTCTTTGAAGTAATGATTGTCACTAACTTGTTTTTGAACATCTTAGATTTATGTTGATTGCAACTAATTACAATTGCACAAAATATGTTGCCTTTGTGACACAGAAGTCAAGCTTACCTTGTTAGAACAAATCGTTTTCAAGAACAGCAGTGGCCACCCACTAACCTTGGTCCCATTCTGTTTTATTAGCAGTATGCGTTTTTCATGATAAACTTTTTCGCATACCCAATTCAACGAGCAAGTCCATGTTTCAAACATGCCCTATAATGAGTCGTATATTCGATTTTGATTCTTGAAGATATAAAAACAAATTATCCCCCTAGCATGCCATTTTGGAGTTGGTGCAGTGTTTAGTTGGAATATAAAATTTTCAAATTATGTCACATGTAAAATGCACATAATTTGAAAATTCTAATGGCGGCATATCACGGGGTCTTTTTTTTTTTTTTTTTCCCTGTCTTGTAGCTTCTAGCTAGGTTATCTTCTAATTTATTTTTCCTTTCTAAGGCAATTGCAAAAGGGAAAAATTGTACATAAAAGCCAAGAGAGATGCATAAGGAAACCTCATAAGGCAATTTATCTTATCTTCTAATTTGTTTTAAACACTGCACCACAACTCCAAAATGACATGCTAGGGGATAATTTTATATTCCATCCCACACCCATCACGCAACCACGCGCATACTCGAAGAGGGTTAGGGTGTTATCCTCCACCGTTCCAAAAATTTCAAAAATCATATTTTATAGCATATGATGTTTTGACATATGCTATGATATCGATGTCAAATTAAAAAATTTAAAATTAAATCTTAACCGTTGATTTTTTTCAATCTAACGGTTATAATTTATTGAGTCATATTTATTAATTAATTATTAATTCTTAATAAATTATCACTATTAGATTAATGAAAATCAACAAAAGTTTGATATCCATATCAAATGATTCTGTCCTATTTTAGATTTTAACCGATTAAAATTAAGGCTTTCTGGGGAAAAAATTTCTGTTTTTGTTGCAGAAAAAAAATTTCCGTCACATTTGCATAAAAATAAGTGTCTTATTATAAAAAGAAGAGAAAAAAAATTAATGGGATTCACTCATTTTTATGTGAGTGTACTTCAACAAAAATGAAAATATTAAATCATTTAATTTTTATAAAAAATTTGTCTTCTTTCACATAAATATTAAAAGAAATAGAATCAATTTATACCGATATAAAATTACTTAGTCTTACATTATATCTTAATAGTTAATTTTCATATATCTAATTGTTAAGATTTATTAAATTATTATAATTAATTAATATGAATCAATGAATTTTATCCGTTACACATATAAAAACCAATAATTAAGAGGAGGTGTAAAAAGCTGCCCGATTTTAAAATATATGCATGTTTATCTCTCACTTAGGAAAATTTATGAATACGCAATGATGCCTTTATACCTTATTGACGAGCGACTCAGCATGCATACTCACTACTATTCGCTAAGACCCGCTCCAGCTCTTGACAAATTGTACATACAAGCAAATTTAACCACATTTTCTTCATTGAGTGATTTTACTTGGGATTCTAGGTGTCAATGATGAAGAGATCTTAAAATAAGTCAAAAGGCTCAAACTTAAAAGCGACCCCAGATTTTTCTACGTTGGCTGCCCTACGTTTTGTCCAAGCCCATACTTTTTGCTTTCCGTCCGCAATATCAAACACGGAATCAACTAAGGTCGTATATGTGTCATATGATACGATCAACATATTTATCCAAAACATGATAAAAATGTAAGACTTGGACAGTGTTTGGCCTGCAAACACAACAAAATATAACATTTTATTTGGTTTCCTATTTTTAAAATACACCATATTATGTTTCGTCCCGTTTTAATACATTTACCAAACGCTAACTTATTGTTACATGTTTAAACCAATTTTTTAAATTTGCTAATTTCCTAGAATTAGGCTATAACAATCATTGAACCTCATAATTTTAGTATGTATAATATAACTTACTTTTAATTAAATAAACGGAAAAAGCAAACCATTCCATGTTTGTTAATTGTTACAAACAGAATATATAATTCTCCATCAATTAGGAAGAAAAATAAAAACAAAAAAGGAAATTTCATTCAACAGTGCCAATTAAAAAAGGAAGAGATTTGGAAAAAATCTTACATATATCTAACTTGTGAACCATGGAACTATGAAGCTAGGAATAAAACAAAATCAGACCTCCTTCTAGAATATTAGGATATTTATAATAAATCAGCTTTCTATAGATAAGGCTCCATTTACGTTACATAAGTGTATAGTCGATCGACCGTTTCTTCTAGAAAAGCGTGAGTAGAAATCCTAATTGGTTATTGCTTTTGGGTATGCCGCTTGCACTACCCTTCTAGAAGACCATCACAAACTTACTCGAGGCGCATCCTTCTCCTTTAATAATGACAAGTCCCATTTTTTGAGAGGGACCAAAGTAAATTAAGATTGTGGTCTGTCCCTGTCACCAAAAGTGTCAAACAATAAAACCCACGTTTGCTTCTTATTTTACTATCCTTCGAGTGCTCTGAATTCCTTTCTAGTTGTTGTAGGATCCTAACACATCAAACTCAAAAAAACAAGAAAGAAGAGAAAAAGAAAAAAAAAAACTTGTTCTTGGTTACCAGGTTGATGGACAGGAAGGACCCTATGGATTTTTCTTCTTACATTCATTTTGAAGCCACTGGTGATTCTGAAGTTGATTGTGATCCCAACCTGGGTGGATATGCTTGTGAAATAGCCAGAGTTGGTGGTGATGATGATGCTCTATCTTGCAGCTATGATGGATCTGATACTTGTAATGCTGCTGAACTCAATGGTTATGAGTCTTGTGATGCTGGTGATCATGATGATGATGAGAAGAAAGAGGATGAGGAGAAAGATGAGGTTTATGGAATATCATATTGTGAAGATGATGAGATGCAAGAAGGAGACCAGAAATCCTTTGTGTCTTTTGATTCAGGTCAAGAGTTGGTGGATGAGATGGAAAAGAACAGGCTCTTCTGGGAAGCTTGTTTGGCATCTTAATTAGATTGTATTTGTTGGGGTTCCTTTTTCTAAATCACTGTTCTGATCCATCTTTTCCAACTGTTCAATACTCTGGAAAAAGAAAGAAAGAAAGAATTTCCATGTCATGTAAATGACTGATGCAGCTAACTATTTTGTTCTAAGCCTTATTTCATGATTTTATCAATTGAAATGTAAATTCGTCGTTTCTCTATATTTTTTTTTCCCATTATTGCTCATTAAATGTTGTTCGGAATTCTTTGCTTCATTTTATCTTCTGAGACACAGAAGGCTGAGGAGATTTGAAATCCTCAGATCTTGATGAATTTCTGAAGCTGTCTAATGTGCAGCATCTCTGCGGGATTTGAGCAATTCCAGTTCGAGTTCATTATTTCATTGTTACAGATTTAATATTTTATAATTGCAATATAACATGTGTTCTTTGTATAATTGAAAATTAATTATTGTCAAACTCACTGGTTAGTATCATAAATTCACATCGTTACCAAGGATAATGGAATAGTCAAAACATTTCACGGATTATTAATTATAGTATTTTGGTCAAGTGCCTTATTGACCGTAAACTTTAGTCAATAAAGTTTATTCCCACAAGATAGCCAGCCTTATTACGTATTGATTCTCTAATGTATGATAGCCAAGCAAACTTCCAAACTTGTAGAGTCACTTCCCATAGCTGTTTCAGAGAATAAAAGGTAGATATGGCAATCTTGTTACCATTGTAAGAGATATATTATGGTGATGAAATCTGGAATTCATCAAATCTTGATCATACACGGGACACATAACAAGCATCATCACAGTCCAAATAATCAATTTCCCTATTTCATCCATGCTTAGAAATTTCATGTACGTGGAAATTGAAGATATGGCTACTCATTAGCCCATGCCCATTTTGTCATGGTTAGAATTGTCCAACACTGGAACAAACAAAACCAGGTAAAATTCAGCCCTAAACTGAACATAACCTGCCCACAATCCACAACGAGCAAACAGTTCCTACTTCATGTATTAATTTACACAAGCAAACCTACTTGTACAGACAAAAATCTGAAACAAAAGGAACTTAAAAACTGCTAAAAAGAAAACCAGTTCTTAACTAGATGCAAGCACCGGCACCGGTGAGACAGAATCTGTAAATTTATCCATCATCTCCACATCATTGGTGCCTGAACATCCTATTGATGGACTACTTGTCCTCAATTTTTCTTGGTCAGTGGAACTCAAGCAGGAATTCCCTGATTTGCTATCAGTAATTGATATAGCAGGTTCCATGCTATAGCCAGAGCAACTTCTGGGGTTCACATGCAAGTAATCTGAAGGTTCTTCTGAGAATCCTCCTTTTCTGTTATCATCCAACTGCTTCAAGAAGCATTCCTCTATTTCGCTTAAAGATTCAGCTTCCCCTTCCTCTTCACTGCTATGGCTGTAGTGAGCATGATCATCATAATCTGATTTGGTCCCTCTCAATTCACCACTGGTGTCCATTTCTCGATGACTCTCATATTCATCCTCAGACTGGCGGTATGATGAATGAAATGACATGGGTGAATACCCACCAGTTGCTGTTTCTTCACGTTCTCTAAGTGTCTTCATTATCAGTGTCTTGAGTAAGTTCATCACTTGAACCGCATGCATCAGAGCAGTTAGAGGATCAGACATCTGTTCCAGGAGACAAAGATAAAAATATGAATTAAAAAATGGACAGACTTCCCAGTGTGCTCAGCTTTAAGGTGTCTAAGAGTATAATAGTCTACTGTAGAAGCACACTATATCGCAACTTGTTTTGTAATGAAAACTGCAGATTGCTTATATGAAAATAGACAACGATGATAGATTAATCTGTTTTAACAAAATTACATATCATTAACACAAAACAAAGGAAAAGGATAACCAAATTAAGATGAAATACAAATACAAGAACATTGAGCAAATATTAATAATTTTAACAGAAAAAGGGTACCTGAGTCATATTTGGAGCAAAAACCATTGCAATGTTTCTTGCATTCATTTTGTTATCCTCCTCCTCTTCTACCACATCAGCCATGAGATCAATAGCCCAGCTGAGCAAGGCGGATTCAGTTGGCTTTAGCTGCTTCACAAGCTCAACAGATTCTTCTTCTGTGTTGCATTGAAGAACTTGCTCAGGGGAAAGTCCATCTAACACTCCTGAAGGAAGCTCTCGAAACCAGGCTTTAATTAGACCAGCCAAGCAGTGAACATCAATGTCATCTGGCACAATGCCCCTATTCAACTGGTCCCTCACATGCTCTTCTTTACTATTTTCTGGGTTTATGCGAAATATACCTTCAGCCTGAAAATTCATTGACAAGAAAAACAAAAAAGATATAGTTAATCTGAAACTATCTGCACTCAAGACCTTAGTGTTATAAATAACAAAATATATTACATATGAAGTACCTTTAAGCCTCCCTGTGAGTATAAACGGTCCTGCATTAGCAAGAGAATAGTGGGGACACTGTTTCCTTTTGAATCATACGAACACTGCATAGATTCTGCCGAGACGCCAAACACACTTACACTACAAGCATAGATGACAGCAAATCACAAGTTAGAATGATTCAATAGACATGGGTAGGTAATGACAAAAACGTGCATACTTCAGTGAAGAATTAAAATCAGCAAAAAGAAAAAAGAGGCTAAAAAATAACTAAAAATAAGATAGAGCACTACATACTTCAGTGAATTTGTACAAGGCATTCTGATGTATGCGTATTTGAAAGAACCTTAATACCAACCTATGTTCATTCCGTAGCTAACAAAGCCCACAATAGTAGACATGTGCCCCAAACCCCAAACAATCTGAAGTTTCCCATTTTGCAATTATATATCTAGGCCAAGAGTCTAAAGGATCAGGACCTCAGTTCAAAGGAACATCCAATAGCACAAAACTAGTACCTGAATTTTCTGAACTACACAAAAAGCATGAGAATTTATTATTTTGTTAATGCATGTTTTCACTTTTCAGTAAGATGAAAAACACATTAACATGGGTTGACTACACGTATTTTGACTTAGGTATGGATCCTTCTTTGAAGAACCTTAAGTTACGGATAATGAGCAACCCGAATGCTTTCGTTTGATACATTCCAGTGTTAACCCACTCATTAGAAACGTACAAGAACTTCTTGCCACTGTACTGTATCTTTTTCACTAGCCTTCAAAGTTCAAATTCAGCTAGAACCATGACTTTCGTGAAAGTCTTGTACTTTTTCTCTTTCTCTTCCACATATTCCCAAACATACCCGTCAACCCCAAAAGCTCTTCCCACCAAAAAAAATTTAAAATTTTTAGCATATCAAGCAAAACCCATTTGAAATCTAACAGTTCACACGAAAGAAAATGTGTTATTTAAAAAAAAAGAAAAAGAAGAAGAAGAAGGTGAAGTAGTACCTAGCACTGGGAACCCGACCCGGGATCTCGACCTCGAACTCTACGGGAAGACCGAGAAAGCCATTGAAGCGGTCGAAGGTAACATGAGTGATGTGTTGAACGTTGGTTGGCCATCCGATCTCCATTTGATGGACGGTGGAGATTACATCGTCGGGTCGGTCCACCTTACAAGCCACCATGGATTTTCTGAGAGCCGCCAACAGAAACGCCACCAACGAGAGTTGGTTCTGCTCCTCTTCTTCGGCGGTTCGAGCCGCTCTCGTCCTTTTTCCACCACCACCGCATCCACCGCCTTTCGTCACCATCACCAGCCCCGTCATTCTCTCTCTCTCTCTCTCTCTCTCTCTCTCTCTGGGTACGAATGGAGACAGACAAGGTTTTGAATTTGAGGATGAGTGAGGTTCTTGTTCCTTAGTTAATGTTTTTGTTGGGTTGCATTCAATTTTGTTTTGAGGCTCTCTATGAGACTTTGTTTAAACTTCAAACGGACACTCTTTTCAAACTCTCTCTCTCTCTCTTTCGGTCATAACTTTATCTACAGTACCATTTCATTTATGACCTCCATGTTCACTTCAATTACCACTACTGCCACTTCACTTTAATATCCTCTAATCAAAATATCAAGTTTAGATTTGAAGGTATAATGGCTTGCGGGTTCTGTTTATCTAGTTTAGATTTGGGATTTGTTATATGGTGATGATAGAGATATCTACTCAAAGCTAATACTTAATATGAGATCAACTATTCTCTTTAATTATCTATGAATTAGATACTTTGAAATAGTGGATTATCATACACACATTTACGATGGTGTTAGTCAAAGAGATAATCATAAAAAAGAAATTATGTCATACTTGTAAAATTTATCTTCTATTTATAGAATTTATATCAAGATATTAAAGTTTTGGGCCTTCTAATTTGTAAGCCTATTTATATTATTATATAGCTATCATGTATTAGCCTTTTATTAAGTTTTCCAGGTATACGAACCTAAATTTACAACTTTTTAATTAAGGAATTAGTTTCGTTTAATGATTTAGGTGGATGCACATTATAATTTCCTTTTTTTGGATTAAAAGGTCTATGGACTTGCAAACTGGAATCCTTCAATTTCAAGCATGTTAATTAAAAGAGAGGTCGGTCTTTGCAAATTCACAACTAATAGTTTTTGGATGATCATTTATTTTTGATAATTAAGAAATAAACAAACACTAAACGTTGAAAAAATCATCATCCACTTTTAGTGGTTTGATTTGCCCATTTTGAATGGTAGAAATTAATAATCCAAGGACGTAAGAGAAATTTAAGAATGGTAGACTAATAATCTTTATAATTATTTTAAATATTTAATGACACACACAGAGCAAAATAAAGATTTTACTCTATAAGTTCATAAATATCTCTTTAAGTGCTCGTTGAATTGCAAATCCAATTTTTTTAATGACCCTATCCCCATTAATATTATTAGTTTAAGATATATGAGAAAAAAATATTAATTTGTTTTGTTATATTTAAGGGGCAATTTACCAAAAAAAAAAAAAATGCTTTTCATAGCAAGGGAACAAAGCTGGCGTTTCTTTTTTAGAAAAAGTGTTTGTCTTTTTAAATTATACAGCTTATATCATTTCATTCTCATAAAGAGATCAAACTCACATCTTTATTTTTTTTGTTCACTCTCTATTCTTCTTTATTTATCTCTTCCTCTCGCTTAAAATGACACAACTTTACATCTTTTAAAATGACATATATTTTTTCCTTTTTTTTATACGAGATCGAAAGAAAAATTATACTCTTCTTCAATAAATGTATTTTCCAATAATACTTATTAAAAGAATCAAAATCAAAATTAGTATTTTTTTTCAGTATGCTTATTTTCTTTTTGTGTGTAATGGTGGAGTTTTTTTTTCCCTTAGGTAGTGTTTGGTTGAAGGTTTATTTTGGGATTGATGGAAAAGTGTAAGTGGATATTAGAAAATACTACGTTTGGTTCAGAATTTTTCAAGAAATACCAGGCAAATTGGATAGATGGGAAAATGACTTTTTGTGTTGATTTTTGGATGAAATTCACTGTTACAGAATACCATTTGAGATGTGGTATTTTGAGATAACTGGGGAAGTGAAAAAACAGGTGCTAAGTTTCTCCCGAACATAGATTTTGCATATTTAAATAAATTTCCCTGGTAATATTTGGGTCAACCAAATAATTTTTTTTACATTTTCCTACCAAACTCATTTTTCAACCATTTTCCTATCAATTATATTTTCCTAGTAAAAAAAATTTATCCCGAACCAAACACTACCTACTGCTATATATACTTAGAAAGAAGGGTTTTATTAGTATCATGTTACATAACCTAAGAAAACTTTCCTACACACACAATTAAAAGGTGGGGTCCACATGTTTTTTTTCTCTTTCATCATTCTACTTTCTCTCTCTTCTTTATTGTGAGGATAGGAAAATTTTCTTATATCATGTTACATTATTCTCGTAAAACCCTAAAAAGAAACTTCAAATTTATCTATTTTGCAAGTACATTAGATGCGAGTTTTTCATTGAGATACGCAGTTCATCTTAGTTTTTTTTTTTTTTTTTTTTGACGAGGGACCCATGGCCCTGAGCAAAAATTAACAACTAAAGTGAATTGGTTTAATTTTTTATTTTTTGGATACAAAGTGCAATCGTTTTTAATTAACCTTATAAAGAACTTATAATTTAATTAATAAATAACGAACTTTAGTGCGATGTTATTGTTGAAAGTGCAATCGTTTCCCTGGCAAGAAGCATAGATAATTAACCAGACAAATTACATTCCATTAGTATAAGTTGGTTCGATAAATTTTACAATTATTATATTACCGTTTTTTGTAGATATTATATTATCATTTTTAATAAATGTACTACTAGGGGTGTAAATGGGCTGGGCTGGGCTGGGTTTTGGCCATCCTGACCCAAGCCTATGTAAAAAAAAATTCAGCCTATCTGACCTACTGGCCTATTAAAAGCTTTATTTGTAGGCCAAGCCCGGCCCATTTTCAAAAATAAGAAAGCCTGACATGGCCTACAGGCCTTGTAGGCCTCCCTGTATATATACCAAGCAAAAAAAATAATTATATAGAGCAAAGAAAGTTCCATTCATGCATGCACTAGTACTTCTTATAAGAAAAAAATGACAAACAAGAAAGAGTCAACATAATACCTCAGCTCTAGAATGTATATCATAGAGGAATGGAGTCAAAGAAATGGAAAAAATAAGAAAAATACAATTACTAGATGCTGAAATAAAGTCTACAAGAAAATGTCATTCATCTCAAAATCTTTAAACCACCATCAAGACAAGGGAAAAAAGAGTATTATTGAAAGATCTTCATCAGTAACATCATAATCCAGCAAGGTACTCATTGTTCCATGGTATTAAGCTGCAACAGCATGTAAAATTTGGAGACATCAGACAAGTTTTCCTTTCATAAAATAAAATAGCACAAAAAGTAAGAGATATTGGTATTTGGTACTCTGTGTCTTTGCCATATAAAATAAATATTATTTTATTATTTTATTTTAATAAATTAAATAGGCCAGCCTACAAGGCTGTAGGCCGGGCTTGACAAAATTGGCCTATGGCCTATTTATTAAAAAAACTTTTTTATAAGCCTAAGCCTACTCTACTTTTCTGAAAGGCCGGGCCTGAGCTGAGCTCAATGTAGGCCGGGCTGGGCCAGCCTGGCCCATTTACACCCCTATGTACTACGGAAGTTTTGATTTCTTCATTTAAAACACTAAACAATATCGTAATAAGTAAACTGCAGATAAAATTTAATTGGTTCTTAAGCGAAAAAAATATGTATTTTAGTCGGTTCGTTTAAACATAAACAAATATTGTTACTTTTTTTAAGTTTTGAAACCAAAGTGCACTACAACTAAAACTGAAGGAGATAAATTGAACTTTTTTATCAATAAATTTAGTAAAAAATGATCGCATTATTTGAGAGTAACAATTTCAGCTAATATTTAACAAGAATAATTAAACAAAATAAATAAGATGCACTCTGAAACACTTACGTATCAAATTACACATTTTGAAATTTAAGATTAAAGAGCACATGGTTATATATGTTGGAGATCTAAGTTGAACTTTTCCAAATTAATTTTTTTCTTCAAAGTTTACTCTGATAAATTAGTCGATTTTATTGTCACATTAATCCTAATGTACTAAACAATCCACACATTTTAATAAAGTATGTTACTTATAGACCTAACCTATGATGCACCGATACTGACACGGGACACACGATACGCCGACACGTTAATTTTAAAGAATGTCACATTTTGACATGTTGGGACACGTTTTGATATTAAATAATATTTTTAATATATATAACATAATTTATATTTAACGCATATAATAGCCTATAATAAGTCATATAACCAATCAAATATTCAAATTTCATAACATAAATATAAACAAAAATAATTTTTCGTACCTAGTTAATTTTTCATGTCAAATTTCATAACAGAAAAAAATTGATTTATAAATAAATTTTTTATTTTTAGTTACTAAAATAAAATTAAAAGTAAAAAGAAAACGTGTCGGAGCGTTGGCCACGTGTAGAAAAAAATTGACTGCGTGTCAAAAAAATGTGTCGGAGCGTGTCAGAGAGTTGACCATGTGTCCCAAAATATTTGCTGCATGTCAGGCGCGTGTTGAAATGTGTCGGAGCGTGTTCGTATTGGACACGTGTCCGACAGACACATTTTAAAAAAATGAACGAGTGTGTGCTTTAGAGGGCCTAACCATGTACGTGTATATATACCAAACAAGTGGAAAACTTTTTTTTTTAGAAGAAAAAGTTCACTTTACATTATCTATTTAAAGTTAAGTGTATTTTCTTGGCTTTTTGACTATTATGCCCTTAATTAAATTAAAAATAACCTTAATACCCTCAACCCAAAACTATATATCAATCTACCCTTATTTAATCGATTACACCAACTTTGTAGTCGATTAAGTATCAAAATATTGAGTTATTCGATTACATCAGCTGAAACTCTTTTTTAAATCTTCCTGCCAATTGCAAAACTCAATAAATTGAAGGAAGACGTAGATGCAAGGAACCTTGATTCATAAGAGCTCCTTGCAGAGAGGAAAGATGCAAATCTTTTCAGGTAGAGTATGATGAACGGCACAGGGATCATGTTCCTACATGAATTGTTTAAAGCTTGATCATTCAATCATGGAAGAACTCGCAGTATTACCAAAAATCAAACTAAATTACGGCAACAAGCACTAAGGAAGCATATTCTGCCATGCCAAATCCATATAAG